TGCAAGATCTTGCATGCCTCCATTTACTTCTCTTTTTCTGGAATGAGAAATCCTAAAATGGATATATGTCATATATTGTAGAAATGTAGGGTTGGAGGGGATTCTTTAGGCCATGGAATCTCCCCCCCCCCCCCGCCCTGCTCTGTAGTTCCAAATTAAAATACCCCTGAGAGATGACTGTCCAACCTCTGCTTGAATTCATCCAGTGAATGAAAGCCCACCACCTCCCTGGGTAATTAATTCCACTGTCAAAACTTCTCTTAGAATTAGATAAGGGAGAACTTATTCATACCCAAACAGCTGGCATGTTCAGCCAGCTTTGATTCCTTGACCTTTTAACTGTATTCCTTTGACTTCTGAGTTAAGACTCCCCTCAGGAACCTAAAGACTATTATCTTTATCTGAGTGACCCAAATAATTTTTAAAATATTATTTTATTACATTAAGCAAATACTGTATACCCAATATTTGTGTATCTATGACAACCATGTGATATAAAATTAATCTTTTAAAAAAATCAAACTTAACTCACCTATTGTTTTTAAGCAAAACTTCCCAATCGTTGTAAATTGTTGGCATGTCCCAGTATCTTTCAGTGTTACCTAAACTGACAATGTTGTTTTTAGGCAACAATGACCCACAGAAAAGCAAACCATCTCACGGATAGCACGCAGGAGACCTATCAGCAAGCAGAGAGCCTTGTTCTGAATATCACTAAAATTCAGAGAAAAATTAACGGTAAGGCAGAATTCTATAAAGGTTTATGTTTTCCTGCTTTGAAAAAGTGCTACTTGGGAAATGCCCAATTCTAGAACTACAGTTTTTTAAAAAAGCAATTGACCCATGGATGAGGGTTAAATTTCAGTTCAACAGTGTGCAAGATTTGGGTAGAATTTATGCTGATTGTAGCTATGTAGGACTTGTTTTTCATAAGCAGCGGTTGTTGAAAGGACTTTGTACAGATGGTCCCAGCTACAGGACCAAGGTGATGCTGATTCTTTAGCAAGGACCACCTCATTCCCAACATAGATGGGCTCAGTTATTTACCTTATTTTTCTCGTGGCACAATAACCATTCAGGGAAAAGAGTCTCATACAGCTGGTGTTATGGTGTGTGGGAATGACCTTGGGGGACAGGGGGAAGAGCCACAAGCCAGGGGAACAGTTGAATAAGAGGCAGCTGAGCCTGCAGAAGGAATGGGGGCATGGCAAACATCTCAGAAGGGACCCTTCCTAGTTTCTTGGGCTGTAAAGGTGACGGGAGAAATGTATTTTCAGACTTGCAAGATTCTGTTAATGTAACCTTACAATAAAGTAGAATTAGTTCATCTGGGTATGCTTCCTATCTGGACTACCTCACAAGGCTGACACCTGGGTATCATTCAAAACCTCCTGTGGTCAAGGCATGATTGTTCATTTGTGTAGAGTTAAGTAAGTAGATACATAAAGATAAATGGTATACTTGGTTAACATGGAGAAGAAGAATGTGATTTACTGTAACTTGCAAGAGACATGATCCAGCCTCTCAATAAATACCATAAGTTGAATCAGTTTAGTCCAATGCAGAACATGTCCCAGGAGTATTTCAAAGTTTTATTTATTATGGACGGAGGAGATGTAGTCCACTGAACAGAGCCTCAGAGCATTATTATAAATCTTTGAGCAACAGAAAGCAGAAGATGGTCCCAGTCCATCTTGCACCATAATTATTTCCCCTAATTATATATCTGAAAGGCATTCTGGTAGCAACCGCTGAAAGACAGAAAGCATTTGCAAGCTTGAGTATGTATTGAAACATAGGAATACTAGGTTCCTTCTTAGCTTTGCAATGTATATAACTTGTGAACAGGTACAAGTGTGAGCCCTTCCAAATACTGTGGTTTCTATCACTACACTAGCATGGTTGCACATCCCTATGAATGTAAAAAATGGAAGAATATAGTGGAAGAATAGTTTGCCGGAAGAAATCAAAAGAGACCAACAACCTCTATGGGATGAGAGTCACTGGGGTATTAATTTGCTAAGTGGCTTTGGTTCCTAACACCGAATCTGGTAACATATGTGGAATCCTGAGCATATTGGCTTTCTTTTAAGGAGAAATCAAGTGGAGAGCTGTTATATGCGCAGAGGTATGTTCTAAATCTGCATCTCAATTGCTGTGGCTTTTTATATAGATCTCATGCACCAGATGGACACTTTTACCACTGCCAATGCTAGTACTACCTCTGCAGAGGAGTTTCGGCAGAAGATAGCTGAGGTAGATGCAATGCTGAGGCACATGAAAGCCACAGATTTTAGCTTCCAGAAAACCATTGCTGTTGGGGAGCGTGATGAAGCTCAGAATTGTGAGTATGACAGAGAAAGCAAATGGGGCGAGGGGGGGAACATTTCCAAGATTCACGTAGAGTATCTTAATATATCCTGGAACCAGTTCATTGAAGTTTGAGAGACGAGACTCGAGTGAAGACAGACTGGATTCTTACATTCAAGAAATCTTACAGTTTTGATTTTATTTAAGTTCTAAACCAAGTTTCCTAAAAGATGGATGCTGGCATCTTGTTTCCTTCTGACGTGTTTGATGTCAGGAGCACAGTTTTGTATTTTATGTATAAAATACAAAACTTTGTAACTGGAGAATATTTTTCCTTTATTTAATAGCCTGCCTTTTGTACAGGAGCTCAAGATGGTGGACATAATGCTCCCTTCTCCTCTTTTTCCCCACTACAACCCTTTGTGATAAGTTGGGCTGACACAGAACACATGGCCCAAAATCACCTAGTGAATTTCTGTGGCTGACAGTGGACTAGATTCTGAATCTACCACCTCAACATGTTAACTACTAGATCCTCCTGGCTTTCTATCAATAGGAATGCTCAGCAGTGTTAAAGTGGTGTTGGATTTTTGTTATTTCTCACGGCAGTAAGTAGAAGATGGAAGAAGGGAAAGTAATCCTTTAACTTGAGATCATAGGCATATTCAACACATTGTATTTCTGAACAAGAATGCAGAACAGTGATCCTATGTTGGCATACGGAAAACGCATTCTTTCTTTTTGGGTCCTCAGTGGTGGAAAGCTTTACTTCCAGAAGCACAATGAACCCCACTTTCTTGGTGAAAAAGTATTAAGATCCATCTCTTTATCTGGGCCTTTAAATTATTTCCAGTCAATGTTATTCTAATGTCAGTATTTAAATTTTTATGACTTATTGTTTGGTTTTTAGGTGTCTTGGGCATAACTGTCATGGCTTGGCCCAAAAAGAATGGTATTTCAAAATGAAAAAGAAATACAGTAATTTATAGGGTTGTGCATGTTCTGAAAATTATTCAGAAGAAAAGCTTCAAATCTTACACAATTCATTAAGTGTAGCATCTGTTTGCTATTCGTTAAAGAAGCTCAATTTTTTTCAGGCTTCTGCCTAAAAAAACAAGGTGGCTGCTTTAAGAATCACTTTAACAGTAGCACATGGATTCCTTAATCCAAGGAATTCTAAACCATTTCTTCCAAAATAGCTTTAAAACATGTACAGCCATAGTATCACCCTACATAAATGATGTATCCTCAGAACTTTGTCTTCCTTTTCTCTCTATTGTAATTGAGGCAACGTTGCCTCACCATCATGGAACTGTTGATGTCCATCACTAATCTTTTCAAGCTTTCCTTCTCTCAGTGCTGAATCGGGTGAAGATTGAGCTTTTCAACAAGTTGGAGGCCAACCAACAACTGGTAAATCAAATCAATGACCAGTTGGATCAGTACAGTTCAGATTTGATGGACCTACGAGATGCCCTGAACGAAGCGGTGAATAAAACCCGACAGACAGAGGATCTCAACAGCCTGAATCGTAATCATCTAGAGGAAACCCAGGTACAAACTGGGGCTTGGGGCTGCAGAAGGAGCTACTGTGCCCCAGGGAATTTTGGGATATTATAAAATTGCCTGTAAGAGCATCTGTCTTATGCTTCCTTTCTACTTGGTTGTTCTCAGCCAAATGTATCTCACCAGTAAGATACCTCTCCTCACTTGAACCCGAAACTCCAAAACCGGTTGGATTAAATACTGGAGCTGTAGGATCCTTAGCAAGGAGCAGGGCTCTGCTCTCTTTAGGTTGGGCATGAGCTTATTTTGGTTGTAATGCAAGTGTCATGACTGTTACAGCAGCATGGTAAACATAGCATCAGTAGCATGGGGAGTCACAGAATTACTGCCATGGTTTGGGACTGCAATACACTATTTATTTTGCAAAAGGGAAGCCAATTAACAGATCCCTATTAAATGAATATCTTACCAGTAAGGTGATCCTAATGTTTTTAGTCACCGCCTCCCCTCTTTCTTCTTAAACCAAAACCTCAGTAGGTATCACAAATACAGGTGCAGTAAGATACTGCGAGAGAGCCAGTTTGGTGTAGTGGTTAAGGCACCAGGTTAGAAACCAGGAGGCCATGAGTTCTAGTCCCACCTTAGGCACAAAGCCAGCTGGTGTCCTGGGCCAGTCCCTCTGTCTCAGCCCTGGGAAGAAGAAGGCCAGGGCAAACCACTTCCGAAATCTTGCCGAGAAAACTGCAGGGACTTGTCCAGGCAGTTGCCAGGAGTGAACAATGACAAGGCACAAATACTGTATATTTATAAGATACTGCACTGCCAAGCCTAAGTAGCCTTCCTGGGTGGAGGAAAGAGGGGTAGAACCTGTAGAATTCAGCAGGATATGCTTCTGCATAAACATGTATCAGAACAATATGGGAAGGAAAAAAAGCAAGTTCTCCACCACACCGTATTCTGCAGTCTTCTCCATCATTTTATTTTACATTTCTCTTAGGACTACAGTGCCCAGAGTTCTCAGCTGAGATAGTTGTATGTCAGTAGAAATTATAGCCCCAATGGGTGTTCTTTAGTGGGTTCCCAAGCCTACATGGAGTGTGATGCAGTAATCCATATGTCTTGCACATCATGCTGTTTCTTATAATCAGAAGTGCCCTTCTGTTTCTTGCACCATGGAAAGGAGCAAAGGGATGAAGGATGGGAACTCAAGATCTGTTCCAACTCCAGGTTCAATCTAGAATTACATAACTTTTAAAAAAAAACTTTCCAGCTTCATTGTCCATCAGTGTTGGGAAATGTATTCAGAAAGATCTAAGGTGACTTTGCCTGTTCCCTATAAATAGCTCCTGAACTCAAGTGCCTCCAGACTGTCTGCTTGGATGAAGATGAGGAAGTAAAGGCAGCAGCAGGCAGTAGAACCCGATGGGTTGAGAAATGCAGATCTAGAGATTAAGAACCAATTCAGTGTATAAAGTTGAGATGACAGAAATTTCACAGTTGAGCTAGTCCAAAAGAAAGGCGTGAACTCTGTGTAAAGTGTGTGCATTTATAGAAGTGCCCTACTCTACTACATGCACTCTTTTTACTGCTAGTGATTAAAAGGCAAAACATAAAGACAAATTCAATGTAGAGAGTCAAAAAGAAAGATGAAAAAGGACTAAAATAAAAGCAAACAGAAATAATAGCACACAGAAACTTGGGATGTATATATGGATGATGAGCAAAGTGTACTGGACTTTTATTATCAGCCGTTGCATTTGATGCTCTAGTATTTAATGTTATCTCGTATCTATCTCGTAGCAAAAGAGCAAGGAGATGGAGAAACAGTATGTCACAATCCAAACCACTTTGAGAATGGCTAAAGGCTCCTTGGGGAAGATCTCAGAATTTCTGCAGACCATTATAAATGCTAAAGATGTAAGTGAGATAAACATTATGCTTCTCTGGTGGTGGTGGGGAGAAATGCTATGTATGACTCTAGGACAGTGGTTTCTCAACCTTAGCAGCTTTCAGATGGGTGGACTCCAACTTCCAGAATCCCCCAAATGCGGGCTGGGGATTCCTGGGGAGTTGGAGTCCACCCATCTGAAAGCTGCCAAGGTTGAGAAACACTGCTCTAGGAACTTATGAGCTGGGGATGTGGGAACAAACATAAAAGGATGAGTTCTTCACAGTGACTGTTTCATGAATAGTAGACATGAAAGAGCTTGTAGGATTAGGAAAAAAAAGGATGTATATTGGCTGAGGTTTTCTGATTCTGAGGTAGTGTCTGAGTTGTTTCACAATACCTCCTGGGACAGGCCAGTGTGTCTCAACCTCAGCTACTTGAAGATGTGTGGATTTCAACTCCCAGAATCCCCCAGCCAGCATGGGAATTGAAGTCCACACATCTTCAAGTAGCTGAGGTTGAGACACACTGGGATAGGCACTTGCTGGGCTGTGATTGATGACAGTTGCAGCCCAACAACTGTTGATATTACACACACACACGAATGCCAGATGGAGGTTTCCCAGATTGAAAGTTTCAAAGAATCCCCCTTGGATGAATTGCGGCATCAAAGGGGGGTTCTTTCCATTTTTAAGTCCCATTTTTAAACAGTTGGAAAAGAGAAATAGGGGCTCAATCATCAGTTTATCCAACAAACAGTTCTCCAGCAGCTCTGAGGAATGGGGTGCATTAAGAAATCAGTATTTTCCAAGAATAGAACAAGTGTTTAAATAGGAAAAGAAAGAAAAAGCACCCCATTGCTTAGATGGTTATTGTAGCAGGACTCAGGTGTTTGGATATTTTTCGTACCTCCAATCCTTCTGAGAGGACTCTTCGGCCAGAAAGAGGCGGGATGGAAAAGCAAGCGTTCTCAATGTTGGCAAATGCTTTGGTTGCATTTCAGGAATCAGAGAAATTACTAGCTCAGCTAGATGGAGCCAGATATCCCCTATCAGAGAAGGCTAAGGAGTACACTTTGGCTAGCAACAAGATCCAGAAGGTTGAGTTGGCAGAGGAGCATGCAAAACTTCTAGATGAACTGGCACGGAATCTCTCCAGGTAATAATTGCTAATTTGCTTACTTTGTTCTCATTTCCTGACCAGCTGTTGAAATGCAGCTGAAGCTTCTATCCTGAGATGTAAAAGTACTTGCCTTTAGACTATTGACGTCCTGCATTTCAAGACACCACTGCCATACCTTTTTTTTTTTCAAAAACAGCCAAATTTAAAATGGGTGCATTTAACACAAATGTTAAATGAGACCAAAAAAAAAAAAAATGATTTGCATTTTGCAGAATGGGTCAAGAGAAGGAAAAGTGATACATTGCAGTAGGATATATAATTGGTTCTGATTGTAAACCAATTCTTATTTTTCAAAAAGTGAAAAAAAAAAGCAAAGCAGGTATTTCTCAAGGCAATTTTGAAAGGAAAAACTGATGTTTGACAGTCGCTAAGTGTTGCCTTTTCTGAATCAATGCCGTTCCTGAATTTTCTCAGTACAGAAAGTGCTTCCGATTTTTCATCTCATTGATCATTAGAAGAGTGTTGCAGAAATTGTGATGTATCAGTCTTCAGCTACATAGTACCCTTATATCCAAGGCCAGCTGTGGTCCTGGCTTGGAAATGTGTCACTCTTGGCAATATTAGAAATCTCAATATTATTCCGTATGCGATTGGATTCCTTTTCTGGCACTGCATCCTTTTCAAAGCAACCTGAAATTTGAACAAAAACAGATGCTTTCCAGTTTTAAAAAGCAAACATGGATGTTCACATTTTATCTTAACAGTAGAATTTATTTAAGAGTTTCTCTCTCCTTCTAGTTCCTGACTGAAAAGAAGGAGAGTCAGCTTTATTCTGTACTGGATGGAAAGGTTATATACCATGAAATGCTTTTTTAATTATTATTTTGGAAAGTTTAGAAGACATAATCTGATTTCAGGCTGTTTATCGACACAAGGGATTAAACATGAAGGCACACACAGACATACACAAATCCTCATCACCAAAGAGAGTTTTAATACTTCACCAATTACCAGGTTCTACATATTCAAACTACAGTATTTTGTCATCCTTGGTAAAGTCATAATCAGATGTATTTCAGAACCATTGGATCCCTGTCTTTTTTTATAGACTGTGTTTCTTCCTTCTGATGGTACTACTGTAGAGGCAAGGAAGGGACATTTCAGTTCCCACATCCTTTCCTAGTCCCAACTGGTTAGTCCTCCAAAGATATGGAGGTGATAAGAGATTGGTGATGCAACTTAGGAAAACCCAATCCTTGAAAGTGGATTTCTAGCCTCCATAAACTGACCAGCTCTCCAGCAAGCTACCTTCTACTGGAAAACAGTATTAGCAGCACCACTGAAACTTCAGGCCTGCTATTAGCAGCAGGAACACAGTTGGGAGTTCTGGCAAACTCGGTTTTTTTGTCCTCCAAAACAGCATTATCCATGGCACAAACCAGGATGGTTTTATTCAGAGAGCCATCAATGCCTCCAATGCCTATGCCAGCATCATTGAGGCGGTAAAGAACGCAGAGGAGGCAGCCCTCAAAGCCAGTCATGCTTCTGATGAAGCCTTGAAGGTAGGAATGTTTGTCTTCCAATCTCTGTTTGAAATATGGCTATAGCCAGCTCACCTGCCAAGACCCAGTGGTCAACTTCCCTCTTTTGTCCAGTGTAACCATTTTGTTGTTTTAGTGAGACAGCTGAGGTTTTCATGGAGGACTGCCCCCTCCCTACATTACTTACAGATACTTTGCAGACAAATGGTTACAGTTGCACAGCTTGTTCGGGGAGAGCCAATCTGGCAAATGAAAGAAGAACATGGCAAATTTACAGTTTTTGCTTGAGGAGGCAGGAGATGTTGCCAGTCAGCATGTCCATGCCTACCATCTGCTGTCTCACTCATGCAATTAATTGCATATCTCTTCAGATTGTATTGACTTAATTTCATAAATCACTTAAAGTAATTCAGTTCAGCACTAGCGGAATTGGGAAGAGTGTATTTGGAAGGAAGCCATCCTGTTGAGGATGGAGACCCAGTTCTTGTTGAAAAGTGGATTATGGAAGTGTAATCCACTTTTTCTTGGGAGTGATGGGATAGTAGAGACTACAGGGGGAGAACCCAGCACCAAGTCCATAGAGGACAAGGAGTGGAGGCTACAGCTCTTATATAAGATGTGGATTCAGGATGTTCTGTGTGAGTTACTTGGCAGGTGAGGTAGGACCAGTTGTCTTCTGTGTTTGCAGAATGTCATCAAACATAATCTTGGAGCCAGAGCAAAAGAGATGAAGAAAAATAGCAGTGCTTTAGAGGAAGCTGTGAAGGAAGAGCAGAGGAAGCTCAGTGGAGGTGAGAAAGAAACCGACAGCACCTTTTCCACCCAATCTGGTCCATTTGACCCTACTTCTCATCAGGGTCCCTCCTTCTGCCACCATTTACCATTCTGCAGATCATACACTCACCATTATCATCTGATGCCTTGGTGTTCTTAAAGGCTCCATGCCTACTTAGGTGGCCATAGGTTAGCTATCATAAGAACCAACAAGGGAGGATTAAAAATATTCCTCACTTTATCAGGATATTTCTGTTCTAAAAAATCTGCCAATGTTGATAAGCTTCTTAGGTCTTTTGTTTCAGTAACATTGAATAACTTCTGTCATTGCTCTACAATACAACAGAGCAAAGACTCTAAGCAAAGTCGGGCTTCATAGACCAACTGCAAGGTGTTTTATTAATTACTGTTTTTTTCAGAGAAAATTACTATACTGTTCAAAGGTCAGGCATCAAATGAGTAAGGAAGCGTTTAGAAGAAAATGACCATCAGTTCAAACATTTCATGTAATTGATATAATAAATTGAGTTTTCATACATCTGTAGATTGAACGTCTGACATAAAAAAGGTAAATAACCAGCCCTTTTGAAATGTCTGGTGAGAGGTCCACTAAAACGAAAGTTTTTTTAATGGATTTATTTAAACTTGAAGGAAGCCAGTTTGATCTGGTAGTGAAGGCCCTTAACAAGAACAGAGCAATCCGAGTTTTAGTCCTGTCTTAGGCGAAGAACCCACCTGTGGGACTTTGAGCCAATCTCTGTCTCAGCTCTGGCAAGAAGGCAATGAAAATGCTGCCTAGAAAATTATGTAGACTTGTCCATGTAGTCACCAGGAGCCAAGACTGACTTGAAAAAGCCTCATCTTAAGCTGATAAGATGCATACTGAATATTGTTTTAAACTAAGACCATTGACTTGTTAGAACGAGCTACTCCTATTCAAAATGTGTAAATTATCAATATTTATCTTTTTAAGATTCTTCAGTTCATAAACCTGAATTGTTGTTCTGATCAGTAGATATTTTCATGCATTCCTTAAGCTTCCTTTCCAAGTAACAAAATTACATTTTTTGTTTCTTCTTCCGTGAAGAAGGTCCTATCCCATTAAAAGCTTTAAAAGTATCTGAAACTGTCCTAATCCTCAACTTTGTTAATCATCTATTTATTGGGGGGAGGGAGCCCTCAGTATCATATTGATTAGGTTTTATTTAAGAGATTTCTATGGCTGCCCATCTCAAACGGCTGTGACTCTGTGTTGTTGATGTGGAAACTGTGGGTCATGTAATAGTGATACATTAAAATGACATCTTAAACCAGCTTGATCCTTCTTCCTAAAACTCATTGATAATATCATTGGAGCAGATATTGCAATAGAACCTATAAAACAATTCTTTGCTTAGCCAGCTGAGAATCAGGATATTAAAAAATAATCCAACTGAGAACACATGCCCAAAGGAATTGGGGGGAAAAGGAGGTATTTTCATTGGGTTGGATTTCATTGTAGCTTAACTATCAAATTAAATTTCTTTGTGTAAGTATGGGGAACACTCTAGTTTTGTGATTGACATTTTCAGGGGAAGGGGAAACTATTATGGGCAGTTGAAGAGATTGACTAAATTAAAAGCCCAGCTACCACAATATTGTCTAGCTTTAAACTAAAATGATAGCAAAACATCTGTGTAAAACATCTGGTTTATTCCCAATTAGACTATAAAAGCCATCTGAATATCAACATTTCTAATGAACAAATTATATAATGGCTGACAATATCTGGGGAAAAAAATCAAATTAGAAAACTATTGAATCACAAAACAATATGAATTAGAAAGCTTCTTAATTAAAACAGTAACTCTCCTAGCCAATTTTTGTAGCTACAATCATATATACAATCAATCCATTTCTTTGCCAGCAAATGTTTTTCATCAGAAAGAATATGCGGGTTCTTTTGTGAAAGTTCAGTAACAACAGTAACTAATCTGTCAGATTTCATTATGTTTCATCTATAAAAAGTGTTCTCTTCTTAGATGGACAGCTCAGATATTTAGCATTCTTTGAAACAATGACTACATTATTCAAAATATAAAATATTATAGTTTTATCATAGAAGGACCCAATATGGATCAAGGCAAAATCAAAATCAATGAACTGAACACTTACTATGGAAAAATCCATAGCAATAAAAAAAGAAAAATCTAAGAAGAAAAAAAGGAAGAAAAACTAAAAAATAATAAAGAACAAATATAAGAAGAAAGCAAAACATCCTACATTCGAGATGCATATAGACCAGTGTTTCTCAATCTTGAGAACTTTAATATGTGCTGACTTCAACTCCCAGAATTCCCAAGCCAGCATGCTGGCTGGAGAATTCTGGGAGTTGAAGTCCACACATCCTAAAGTTGCCAGGGTTGAGAAACACTGGTATAGACTACAAAATTAACCTCTCACCCTTGATGTTGAAAAGATACCTACATTTATAGTGTATTTATAGAGGGAAAGGACATGCCAACCCTGTCCTGTTCACCCTATGGGACCCATCCAGAGATTATCTTGACTGAAAACCGGAACAGCCAAGAGGTTCTAGGTTTTGGTTCAGTCTGATTACAGCCTGCCCAGAACTGGTCCAGCCAAACACCTGAGCCATGGAGTATGTGTTTGTTCTGTGTAGGGAAGAGAATATATTTTATTTTGTTTGTACCTCTGCTAGTTAGTTATTTGGGACAGTTTACAGGAAATGGAAAAGCACAATATAAAGGGTTACAACAGTAATAATGCAGTTAAAAACAGTTCTCTTTTCAGTTTTCTCTTTCAGATCATCTGGAATTGGTAAGAAACGGTGTAAGCTTTTCTTTGAGTTGTTCTTGGGTTTAAGCTGCAGCTGTCTTTGAATGGGACAGGCAAAGCAATAATAGTGGTTCACCTTCATAGGAGTTGGAGAACACAGTTCTGGAATTTCTTAGTGCATGACCTCAACATTCATAGCCCCAGGTCATACTCATAATGTTGCCAATGGAAATTTTACTTCCAGAAATCCTGATTTGAACTTAGGTAACTCTGTACTTTATTTTAATCCAAGTCATCAAGGGAGCATTGGAAGCAGCCCAAAACAGATTGGCTGGTATCCAAACAAAGAAGGAACAACTCCTGAACCAGCTGAATTCAGCGAAGAACAAGTTGAACATGATCCATGGTAAGTCCATGTTATAATGCCTTCACAGATTTTCCAAATAACCATGTCTGCAGAATTTCTTCTTAGCAATCTGGAGATTTCAGCTCACCATGGTCTCATGAGGTGTTATGTCAATAAATCTATCAAGCTTCTGGGTGGATGGCCCTTAATTAAGTAGCACTGCACAGCTATTTTGCCTTTTTCTGCTGAACAGATTCTCTTTGATAAGGAAAAAGAAAGAAGAAATAATGTACAAGGGCAGATTTGCCTTACAAATTGAAGGTAGCAGCACCTGGGAGATTCCAGGAAAGACAAGGTGGTTGCATGAAACATCTCGAACCTTGTGTCATTAGGAGTGAAAAATACATGCGATCTTCCAGATTTCTCCCCATCACTTTGCCAGTGATCTGATCATACAACATTAATGCATGAAATGCATTGAATTTGACTCGGTCTAATCATTTTTCCTGAACTGCAGAGAATAGTTCTTACACTTGATGGTTCATGTATTTGTTCTTCTTGAGCTGAAATGAATCTGAACTGTTGCAGGTTTTTGGCCACTCTTGACTCTGCACATTTCTTCCATCTAAATTCTGGTAACTTATGTTTTTATTTTACACCCTGCGTGCTTTCTTTTGCAAGACGGTGCAGCAGAGAAAATTCAGAAGGCCCAAGACGCCGCCTTAAAGGCCAATGAGACAGTGGCCGCAATGGAAGGACAACTGAGTGACATGAAAAAAAACCTAGATGAGTGGAAGGAACAGTATGGAGACCTGAAAAGTGAAGATTTGAATCAAGCTGCCCGTGATGCCAAGAATACTGGTGTGTAATTCCCATTTTTTCAGTATTTCTGTTTCTTTGGGAGAAGATGGGTACTGCCTTAAGCAGGATTCATTTGTGGGTGTAAATACTCTTTTGCACTAAAAACTCTTTGGAAGAAGATTCAGAATAAATGTCTTTTTTGGAAATTACTTTCTGTTTAATGCCAGATGCAAAATGTCAGTTAGATTCCCTTTTTTCTTGCTTCCCTTTTATGCATTTGCTTCCACTAATATTCAACTGTGTCAGCTTCACTGCATTAATTTTTGTGACAGAATGCTAAAAGAAAACAGATACAAATTGTTCTGTCTTTTTCACTTTCTGGTTTTTTTCAGTCTTATTAAAAAAAAAAAGTTGCCATGTACTTCTGTCCTCTGTTCTATATTTCAGTTTTCTTCTGTGCCCTCTCTGAAACATGTCAGTTTTCATCAGAGATAAACAATGAAATTGTCAGAACTCATAATTACATTGGAGGCAATGTTAAAATAGAAGATCAGATGGTTCTCTGTTTCATATGAGGAGGCATAAGAGAGCTGTTTCACTTTATAAATATATTGGGATTCAGAACTTCTGACCTGCCAGGCTCAGCTTGGCAGACCAGCTCATAAAAATGGTTAATCTGCTGTCTGGGGCTGAGAAATGGAGGGAGAGATAGATCATAAATTGCTGCAACTGGTATAAAACTTTGAGGAACTCCTGAAACGTGATGCCCTTCCCATATAACCATCACTATTCTTTGAAATTTCTGTGAACCTTTTTGGAACTCAGCTGTAACCTAGCATGACTAACATGCTTCCTCTGTGACTTGTTTATATTTCCATTGGGTTGGCTTCTGGGTTTCCGCTTGAAAAATTTCTGCTGTCCAGTCTCAAGTCTTGAAAGCACCCTTCCAGTCCTCCTGGGAAAGCTGACCAGTCTGGAAAACAGAAGAAGCCACAACGCAACTGTTTTGGACAATATTCTACGAGTGCGCCAACTGATCTCGTTGGCCCGGAATGCTGTCAGTAAGGTATGGAAGCACAAAGCACAAGCAGATCATACAATGTCTGATGGCCCTGCTGTCTGCCATGATGTGACTCAAAAACAAGGTTGTGTGTCAGAGTTCATATCCCCAAAAGAAGACTTCAGCTTGGCTTAGAACTTGTGTACAGTCTGATTCATTGACTGATTAGCCACAGGGCAGGATTGGCAATTACAGGTAGTCCTCGTTTAATGATGGTAATTGGGACCGGAACTCCGTCACTAAGCGATGGAGTTGTAAATTACATCGTGTGACCACACTAACTTATGACAGCAATTGAGGTCGTCCCAGTTGCCATCGTTAGGCGAATCCCGCACAGTCGCAGTGTCCCTGGGGTCATGTGATCATCATTTGTGACCCCCTGCCGGCTTCCCCATTGACTTTGCATGTTGGAAGCTGGCAGGGAAAATCAACAATGGCAGTTACGTGACTGTGAGACACCATGACCATCATAATTGCAAGCCAGTTAACAAGTGCCCGAATCACAATCATGTGACTGCAGAGACGCTGCAACGACCACAACTATGAGGAATGGTCATAAGTCCCCCTCGTTCAGCACCGTTGGAAATTCGAACCGTCACTGAAAGATTGGTCGTTCAGTGAGGACTACCTGTTTATTATTTTTGCCCATCAATTCTTAAGAACAATCATATAGAAATGAGCATAATCCGTGAAGCCAATTAAGGATTTGACTCACAGAAACAACTTAATACTCCTTGGGACATCATTAAGAAGAATTTGCTGGAAGTGATGATTTTTAAAGGGAGGTTGGAAGGAAATAATGAAAATAATGAACCCTGCTGAGACAACAGTATCTTTCAATGCCAGGCCTGAAGTGTTAGTGTCAGATATTTGTTCATTTGATCTTTTGTCTTCTAGATTAAAGTTCCAGTGAAGTTCAATGGCACTTCTGGTGTACAAGTCCGGACTCCCAGCAATCTCCAAGATTTGGCTGCCTATACATCCCTCAAATTCTATATTCAGAACCCATACTCCAAAGTGAGAGAGAAACAACAAAATGAGGATGGGTCTGGACGCTTTGTGTTGTACCTGGGACAAAAGGATGTAAGTTCTCAGGAAAGAAATCAAGAACCAGTAAAGATCAACCCGGGGGCTTGGGGTGGAAAGTGTACTTTGCTTTCCATATCTGTTTGAGAATGTTGGTATTCCTATGCAATTATTATTCAATACTATTGCTATTCACTGTTGGTGTAAAGTAGATTTAGCTTTATTTTCATTCCTTTTCCTTATCCCATGCCCCAACTTCTTTGATTACTATTTCTTCCTCAATTTTTGCACTTTGCAAAATGTCTCTTACCCCAAAAAGAAATAATACGGTGTATAAGTATATGTAAGCATGTATTGTTCAATGTAACGGTGGTAGTGATGCACCAGTGTTTTGTGGTAAAAAGCTATTGGATCATATAATAGCAAGGACTAAAAATAAACCTAAACAACATTTGGCATGGAGTCCCACTGGAAAACGGATTGCTCTGTGTGACCCAAATTAAGACAACGATGTATTGTGCCATATCCATGCTTGTAAGCCCTTTGATGGCTTTACAGTCCCATCATTGGTCACATAAGAGATGCCCAATATTTATTTAATTGATTTATATGGCCACCCATCTTGTATACATGACTCTGGGTGGCTAACAATTAAAACAAAATAAAAACAGAGTAAAAACACAACCAATGATTAAAAACATAAATAACCTTACCCAGCATCAAATAGCATAAATAGCAGCTGAGAGCAACCCCAACATCTCACAATTAATATAACCCCAAAGCAGTCTCGGCTACACTATCAGGGCCCCAGGCTTGATGGCAAAGCCAGTTTGCTCTTGTTCTTTGAATTTCCAGGCCACTGGTGACTACATGGGCATAATCCTGAAAGACCGCAAAGTAGAATGGATCTACAAACTAGGAGATGAGGAACCAGCACATTTAGTAGTTGATGAAGAAATTGGAGAACAGTTTGCTACTGTCAGCATCAACAGGTATGGAGGAAGCAGGGGAAAAGAAGGAGAACCTTCAAAATCAATATTCCTAAGTGGATCCATGGACAATTGCTTCTGATATAAAATTGCTCTCTACAATCACTTCTTGATAGAAGAGAGAAAATTGTTCTGAAGTTTAGAGTAGTCTTCTTGTCCCTTGTCCCTAGAGTTCTTTCTGGAAGGCCTTTTTTTCCTAACGAAGAAGTTCCCTTTGGGCTGGATTTTACTTCCTCTCCTTGCACCATGTGATTCATCAACTTTCTGCTGCGTTTTGGTTATGCTTTCATTTGGTTCCAGTTATATTATTTGTATTTTTGTCATCATTACTGACTGCCATTTCCCAGCAGAGGGATAGGAGGTATATCCTAGAAATCAATAAATGTTTTCCTGGTTTGTAGGATCTTGCAGTATGGACACATGTCTGTGACAGTGGAGAAGCAAACCTTGCATGAGACCAAGGGGGACAGCGTTGCCAAAGGAGAACATGGATTGTTCAACTTCAAGCCACATAACACTGTTTTGTACGTGGGTGGCTACCCTTCCAGCTTCACGGTGAGATGGGTGGGGTAGGCTAGTTGTGTCAGGCAAGGGGTATGTTTCTGACCTTTTAGAATCCGGTTGCTCAAACTAGTAGCAGCAACTGGTGACTTAAAATAGTGGCTAGCCCATTACTCTTTTAGCTTTCTTGACAATTAATTAGGTTTTTTTCACACCTATGACTGTGTTGTCTATGCAAAACTTGTAATTGTTTTAAATAAGCTCAGGGTGGACATGCTTCACAGGGAGCTTCAACTGGCAGTTAACTATATGAGAAAACTCATGCTTCCCTGGGAAATTCATATTGTTGGATACTGTAACCAGAGGCAGTCATCTGTGCAATCAGGCAAGGTTGGGATTGCAAAGGCAGGATGGGTTAGGTAACTGAAGCAGGAAGCAAGAGCCTTCAGAGAGAGGAGCAGCCAACTTGCACCTTGAGTAACAGGGTTGGGGTGTTTACCTCACCTGATAAAAAATGAAAGAGAAGATTTCTGCTCCTGCAGATTCTGCAACTCGGTTATTTTTTCCCCAACAGCCCCCTAAACCTCTGCGGTATCCTAACTACCGAGGCTGTATAGAGATGGATTCCCTCAATGAAGAGGTGATGAGTTTGTACAACTTCCAGCGTACTTTCCATCTGGACACTGCGGCAGAGAGACCTTGCACGAGGTAAGCTTGGTGATGATAGGGTCAACAACCTTCCTTCTTGGAAGAAAATGGACACTGTGCTCTACAATTTGATTTATAGATCACTGCCTCTCCGGAGACAGGAAGCCTCCATCAAGCAGGGCTCAGCATCTTTCAAAACTTTTCCTTCCTCAAAATGCAACTAAGATTTCTTTTTTTATCTCCTGATACTGAACTTCTAGAACGCAGCTGTGTAGATTGGGCATGCCGCTTACCAACTCTTTACTTCTTCTCAAAGATCTAAATCCACGGGTGATCCCTGGCTGACTGACGGCTCCTATTTTGATGGTACTGGATATGCGGAAATCACCTTTGAGAGCCAGATTGGCTCAATCAAACGCTTTGAGCAGGAGATGCGGCTGGTGTCCTACCACGGGATCATTTTCTTCTTGAAACATCAGGCAAGTCTTGCTTTAATTGGTCCTTCTTGATAAGGTGGCAAGGATCTGGGTTTCTTGTTACAAGTGATGTTATTTTATTTATGTATTTATTTTATTTATTTATTTATTTATCAAATTTGTCACTGCCCATCTCATGAAACAACTCTGGGCGGTTTACAGCAAGATAAAAATTCATTAAAATTCAACATAAAAGCAATCCTAAAAACAAATAGGTTCCAAGAGGATGGAGAGTTGCCGAGTAATTCCCAGGGAGCATCATCAGGGGTCTACCACCCCCAGGGATGGGCAGAGCCCATATCGCCCCATGCACGCTGACAGATCCTGTTAATCCTTTTCGGAAAGCCAGGAGGGTAGGGGCCCACTGCACCTCTGGGGGGAGAATATTCCAAAGGGTGGGGGCAACAGCAGAGAAGGCCCTCTTCCTGGGCCCCACCAGCTGACACTTTTTGCTGACAGGATCCGCAACGTGCCCTTTCTTCCTGACTGGGTGGGATGGGTTGATGTAATGGGGATGTTAGAAAGAAGACACATCACAAAACATCTCATGTGGATCGGAGGAAGCAAATGTAGGAAGATAAGCTCTCATTTTCTCTTCCCGTGCTTTTCCCTGGATTAGAGCACCATTATATACAGGAGAGAGTTGACTTTCAGGCTCCAAAGACAACCTGACTTGTCCCTTTTCTGCCACAGAATCAACTGCTGTGTTTGGCTATTCAAGACGGAAAGCTAGTGCTGTACTATGACTTCAGTGGAGGTCTGAAGATGGCGCCCCCTTCAAAGGATCGTGCCACCCTGATAGTCAGCAACAACACAAATAAAGCGGTAACGACAGAACACAGACCTGTCTCTTTCAATTTCATGACTGGAGGCAGAAGTACCTTCTTTCATTCTTTGCATGGATTAGGGATTTTATATTCAGATTTTAATGACCGCAGAATGGCGGTGACTTTCCTAAGTTAGCCCACTGAGATTGAGCAAGCTTCTTCTTGTCCACTTCTAATAAATCTGTGGGGATGGTAGAGAGAGGAGCAGGCAGCACTGGCTCATCAGTTCATGCCCTTGGCTTAGGAGACACTTTGAGAATAATTTCTGAATCTTGAGTGAAACTGCCTCTTTTGTGGGTCAGACCCCTTCTAATTCCAGGAGCAGTTCCATGGTCATTTCTCCTTTTGTCTGATTCCAGATCCAGCTATTTCTCCACAAAATGGGTTCCAAGGATCGTGTTTTGGTCCGTCTGGAACAATCTACTGTCTTCATGATTGAGCAAGAAAACATTTTGTATGGTGCCACCTCCTATTATTTAGGGGGGGTGCCCAGCTCCATCTTGCCTGAAAGGTAAGGTTTTCTTTCAGTCATTATTGCAAGCAGAACTTTGTTTCCTTGTGTCAGCACTTAAACATCTGAAAAGAGCTACTCCATTGGGTCTCTGCACCTCTACATCTCATAATTGGCTGCATTCATACTAAGGCCTTAATCATGGTTTACAGACCTCAGTAGCTAGATTCATACAATGCATCAAGCCAAACCACATCAGTCAAGATTCCTGGGGTGCAAATAGTGACAACATATAGCTTCTTCAGGAGATACTGGAGAAATTTATTAAAGACCGCTCACATGTGCCTTTATGATATCTGTCAGAGACCGCTGTGAACTGGGCTTTTCTTAGAATCCCTTCTTGGTTTGCTTTTATACATTATTTATTTGCCTAATAACTATATATAAAATGCATACAAAACATCCCCACAGCCTCTAATCTGGTTACTCTTTTTGGTTATTGGTTATAACCAATAACAGTCAGAACTGATGATGTTCTGAAAGATGCTGAAACCCAGCTCTGGATCAGGGTGGTGGGTGAACCCTTGAAAGATTTTTTTACCTTGTTTTATATGTTTTTCATATATCATCTGCTGCTCTGTTCTGTTGTTCTGATTTTTTATTATGTAAAGTGCCCAGAGTCAGTTGGGGTCAGGAGTTCTTTAAATCTATGTATTCAGTCAATCCATTTATTTCCATTCTGCCTTGACGGCTGGGATTTGTGGAAAAGGAACCTGGGTCGGTAGCTTTTTTGTTCTGCTCCTTAACTTGTCCATCTGCTGAAAAGCCTCTGTTCTCTACCTGTGTGCTTTCTGATTCCCGTCCAAACTGTAAAGATGTTAAGCTTCTTAAAACACAAATACCACCTGGTCAACATGACATGTTTTTCAGCCTGAAGAAAATATTCCCCAAAGGTGGCTCCATTAGAGGTTGCATGAAAGGACTGAAAGCTCTCGGCAAATATGTTGACTTAAAACGTATGAACACCATTGGAGTGAGTTATGGGTGTACCTTGGATCTCCTGGTAAGATGTCTTTATTGCCCTCTTTATTGTAGTGCACAGTATTGGGCCAACTTTGCTAGTATTCAATATTTAGGCATTGATAGCTTTTTTTCTGGAGGTAAAGCAGTAGTGCCTCACTCCCTACTCCAGGTGAAGCTTCTCCTGTGACAAGAGAAGCTTGAGATACCACCAGTGCTTGGCCTGTTGCCACCAAGAAGCTCTGACTGTTCAGAACAGTACTATCTCAGATACCTTACTCACACTGTGTAGTTTGAACCCACCTCTTAAACCCTACAGTTGCTGCTAATCTTACTTCATTTTGTGGTTCCTTCCAGAAGTTTTCTTCTTGCACACCATAGATGTGGCATCATATTTGGCCATTCTGTTCTTTTGGTGGGTTTTTTAGTCTAGAAATAACACACATCTATGGGTGTTGTGTTTGTCCTTTTCCAGGTGGCTCGCTCAGTTAAATTTCATGGCTCTGGCTACTTGACTCTGTCACTGAAGAATGTCCCCTCTTTACAAGACTTCTATACTGGTTTTAGCTTCCGTACCAGTCAGAGTCACGGCTTGCTGTATCACCATGCTACAAAGGTACACCATTTGGGCATTGAATGAATTGCATCCTAAAATAATAGTTTCCTGAATGGCTTACTTGCAGAATTGTGAGAAATAACTCTTAACTGTTCCTTCTGGGCATACAGAACCAAAGGGAAAGAGAATATTAAATGTGGACTATGCATGTCTCACTATGCCGCCCAGAGTTCCCCATTGGGGGAGATGGGCGGATAATAAATCGAATGTAATAGTAGTAGTAGTAGTAGTAATAATAATAATAATAATAATAATAATAATAATAATAATAATAATAATAATAATA